CTAATTAAGAAAAAGGGGAGAAATTTCAAATATACAAAATAGAAAATGACAAGGGAGAAATAATCATTGACATATACAAAATTTAAAACGCAAGCAACTATGTGCAGACATTAAAGTGAACAGATTGGAAAATCTAGATGAAACACATAATTGTCTAGGAAAATACATTTTATTGAAATTGACCCAATAGAGATAGAAAGCTTACACAGAACAATTTCCAAAGAAGGAAAAGAAAGGTTTATAACCTTTATATAAGTTTATAAGAACTACTATAGGAAATTTCTATCAGTCTTGTAAGAATTACACTACAAAGAAGCACCAGGTCTCTATGATTTCACAGGAGAGTTTTACTAAACCTTCAAGGAAAAGAGAATCTCAATGCTCTACAATGTGTTCCAGAGCATAGAAGATCGAAGAACACTTTCAAACTTTTTAACGAAGCAAGTATAACATTGTTAGCTGTGGTAGGCAGAATAGTGGACTCACCCCCCAAAGATGTCCACATTCCTAATCCCTGGAAACAGGGTATGTTGCCTTACATGGCAAAATGGACTTTGCAGATGCAAATTAAGTTATGGATTTTGAGATTGGCGGGGGTGGGGGGGGCGGGGTTATCCTGGAGCAGCCAGGTGGGGCCGATGTAATCCCAGAGGTCTTTTTTAGAAAAAAGGGAGGCAGGAGAGTCAGAAAATGTGACCTCGGAAGCAAAGGGATGTGTATGTTGGCGGGGGTGGGGTAGAGGTAGGTATTGAGATTTGAAGACGCTACATTTTCAGCTTTGAAGCTGGAGGAAAGGGCCATGAACAAGGAATGCAGGCAGCTTCTAGAAGCTGGAAAAAGCAAGGAAATGGATTCTTCCCTAGAGCCCCCAGAAAGAACGTAGACCAGCTGATAGCTTGATTTTAGCCCAGTAAAACCCATTTCAGCCCAGTAAAACCCATTTCAGACTTCTGACTTCTAGAAAAGTCAGAGAATAAATCTGTGTTGCTTTAAGGCACTGGGGTAGTTATAAGAGTAATAGGAAACCAGTATAATACCTAAAAAGAGAATGCTAGCATAAACAGAAAGACAATTTCAGACTGAAATCATTTATTAAGATGCAAAAATCCTAAATATTAGTGAAGAGAATTCAATACTATATTAAGAAAATAACACATGATGACCTACTGCAATGGAAAGTTGGTTCATTCTTAGCAAGTCTATTAATACAATATACCATATTAGTAGATCTAAAGAGAAAAATGATCTGCATATCTCCATAGATGCTGAAAAGGCTTTTGACAAATTCAACACTCATTATTGATAAAAACACTAAAAAAAGAATTGATGACTATTTCCCTAACATGATAAAAATGTAAATATCTTAGTCCTAAACATGCTTCTCACTTCATGGGAAAATCCTGAAAGTCTTTTCATTAAGAACAGGGACAAGGTCACATTGTACTGAAAGCATTAGTTTATCCAATTAGATAAATCAGAGACACACAAGTGGGAAAAGAAGCAAAGCTATCTCTACTTGCAAATGTATGGTAGTGTATCTGGAAAATCCAAGAAAATCCATGACAAAGTTAACTCAAAAAAAAAAAATTTTAAAGGTAGCAGGATGTAAAGTTAATATACAGAACCCAATAGCCCTCATATACACAAACAATAATCAAGTAGAGGTTTTAAGGATGGAGGAAAACCCTATTTACAATAGTAACAAAGAAGATAAAGTACTTATAAATAAACTTAATAAGAATGTGCAAAACCTTTAAGAAAATACTTTTAAAAGCTCCTGAAAGACCCATAAGTATACTTAGCCAGATGGAAAGATGTCCTTTGCTCTTGGATAGAAGACTCGGCATCATAAAGATATAAATTCTTCCCAATAGCTAATACTTTATAATAACTATAAATGGAGTATAACCTTTAAAAATTGTGAATCACTATAATGTATGCCTGTAACTTACATAATATTGTATATCAACTATACTTCAATAAAAAAAAAAGTCTTCCTGATAATTCTTTCAGAAATCAGACAGAAAAATGGTCAAAGACATAACCAGATAATATACAAAATATGTAAAATGTCCTTTGAACTTTCAAAAATACGTGCAACTCTGCTCATAATAAGAGCAATACAAATTAAAACCATACTGCCATACCCTTTTTCTTTCTTATTTGATTGGAAAAAAATTAAAAAGCCTGACAGCTGTCAAAAGCAAACACTGTCATACACTGATGATGGGAATGTAACCCTTATGGAAGAGAATTTGGCAATATTTAATACATCCACATATGCATTTACCTGTTGATACAGTAATCCCACCAATTCATGACTAGGAATTTACTCTGAAGATATTCTCAACAACATGAAATTACACTTGCACAAGGCCCTTTATTGCAGTACTATTTGTAATTGTAAAATATGAAAATAACTGAATAATACATAAAAGAGCAGTTGAATAAATTATGCTTTTTGCAGTTTTGACTTTGGAGCTAGGTGAAGGCATTACATACTAAAAACCAAAATCAAATGAATAATGATGAAGATAGAAAAAACCTAAAATGGAATACAAACAAATAAACAAACCTTACTTTATTTCAAATGAATAACATAACCATAATCAAAGAGGGCGGGGCACAGAACAAGCCCAGATAACTTTGAACGTAGCACTGTTTTTTGTTAATCAAAAGAGAAACAATTGAAAAATACACTGAACTCCAGACAGCAGGTTTGTTTTTGCAGTAGTGTGATTTAGCAATTCTGAAATTGCTCTCTGTGTACCAGCAGCATTTAACAAATGACTTAATCCACTGGGGATAATGGAAACTGGATTTCAGTGCCTACCTGTCCCTCCGCGGCACACTTCTTTTCAGGGTGCAAACTGCACAGCAGCACCCAGGGCTCCTGGTCCTGACCCACACCTTTAACAGCCCTGACACAGGAACCCTCTTCGTCTTAGGAAGCCGACCTCACCTCCAGCCCCTTGAACTCCAAACCCTGGCTTTGACCCATCTCTTGGTATAGTGCCTTAAACAGAAAAGTTCAACAGTGCTAGCAAGGCAGCTTGAAAAGAAAACGGAGCCCTGAGATGTGACTGAGAGAAGAGACCCGGGGGCAGCTTCCTTAGGACAACACAGAGCAGGGCAGTGAAGGCTGTGTTTTTCCTGTCTGATCTCAAGAGGTTTGGATGGTTCAGAAAATGCATTCGTGTGCTGAACTCTGGGCTGCCAATGAGTGATGATGGAGATGGTGTTGGTGTTGATGAATATCTTTTTGTGTTCCTTATAAAATACAGTAGCATTCTTTTATCACTCATTACCCCCTTTCACATACCGCTTTCTTCATGTGAATGTTTTGGGCCCCCATATTATACCTGACTAATAATACCCATCATCATTGGGGCTTGCTATATGTTAGGCTCTGTTCTCAGCTTCTGACTAGTGAGGCTGGGATTTGAACTCAAGGCAGGGTGGCTTCAGTGTCTGTGCTCTAACCACAGTACTTTGCAGCCTCTAACACACAGCTATGCCACCCGTAACTGTCTACAAGGAACGCACTGTGGCCACAGGGGCAAATTAGTCAAAACAAGCAAAAGCGGTTCCTTAAAAACTAAAGGACCCAGTGATCCCATTCCTGGGCATATATTTGGAGAAAACTCTAATTTGAAAAAATACATGCAAGCCCATGTTCATAGCAACACTATTTACAATAGCCAAGACATGGAAGCAACCTAAATGTCCATCGACAGAGGAATGGATAAATAAGATACGGTACATATACAACGGAATACTACTCAGCCACAAAAAAGAATGAAATAATGCCATTTGCAGCAACATGGGTGACCCTGGGGATTATCATACTAAGTGAAGTGAGTCAGACAGAGAAAGTCAAATACCATAAGATATCACTTATATGCGAAATCTAAAAAAGATACAAATGAACTTGTTTACAAAACAGAAACAGACTCACAGACATAGAAAACAAACTTATGGTTACAAAATGGGAAAGACGGAGGGGAGGGATAAATTAGGAGTATGGAATTAACAGAAACACACTACTATATATAAAATAGATAATCAACAGGACCTACTGTGTAGCACAGGGGACTCTACTTAATATTCTGTAATAACCTATACGGAAAAAGAATCTGAAAAAGAATATATGTATATACATGCATAAAACTGAAACACTTTGCTGTACACCAGAAACTAACACAGCATTGTAAACCAACTGTACTTCAATAAAAAGAAAAAGTCTACTTTACATTTGGAAAAAACAAACAAGCAAAAGCAATGTGGACAGAAGCATGGTCGCTGAGGGTGGGCACGACGTGGCCTGCAGGGTGTGGGACAAAAGGGGGCAGGAAGCAGCCATGCCAGCCTTAGGCTGCCAAGAAGTGACCGTGACCGCCAGCAGCTCATCAAAGGGTAGCGGTATCTGCTTTCACAGGCAATGGGAAAAATAAACGCCCCATCAACCTGTGGATCTGATTCTATTTTGCAACACAGAACTTATTACTTTCAACCCAAGCCAGCAATTATTTCCTGAGTAGAATGGGGGCCACTTTACTGAGCTGTGTCCCTACTCTGAGCTTGTCCTAACCGGGAAAGTGACCAGTGGGAATAAGCAAAGCGTTTCAGCTGCCCTGCCTCATGGACCTCCCACGCCAAAAAAAAAGGAAATTGAACAGGGAACAGACTGGCTTTTAAAAGACCTTCTAAATAAGCCTAAGGATTAATTTTCGAAAATTCACAAAACTGAAGGCAGTTTACAAACTCTTTTGTAGTCAGTCTCGTACAAAGTACATTTTCTAAAATATTCTTGAATTTTCAAATTTCAAATTCTTCAGGTGTGATTGTTCTCATTTTTCTCAAAGGCTTTTGTAATCAAATTGCATGATTCAAAATGCATTTTAATTAGTTTCCTAAAATAAATAAATAAAAATCGTAAAGAATCGAAGCTTCCAAAAACCCATTAGCGGTGCCGTCACGGGAGGGCTGTGGGCTGGTAAACTGGGACGGCAGTTTTTTCGGCCTTTCCACATCTGTTGCCTTTCAATCCAACAGGATGCAGTGGACGGGGGGAGCACATCAAGCACTGCCTTTGGGTGTCCAGTGAGAGCCCAGGTCTGACAGGTCGATGCCCTCCTGTTTCGTCATTTCCTGCCTGCGATGTGGATGGCAGCTGAAAGGTAGTTTGCCTCATGGATTATGAAATGGTGGAGTCTGAAAACGCCAGTCATTCTGAGTTAAAAAGGATCCTTAGATTTGTCCATTGGTAAGGAATTCAGAAGAAAAAAAAAAAAACAAAACAGGTAACACGAGGTTACCCTGCACACACATTTTCACTGGCCACATTACCAGGGAAGGGACGCCATGCCCTCAACAACTAAAGCTACCAAGGGTTTGCCCAAACGACCCCAGAAATGATGCATTTGGCCCCGTTTAGTGATGGTGGTGACAGGGATCAGGGTAGGGGGAGTCCCAGATCCTGTCCTTTACTCATGACTGGAGTGCAGTTAGCCATTCTTCATCTCAAAGCTGTCCAAGGATGGCTCGGTGAAGAAGAACTCTCTTCCTCATCTCTGACCAGACTTGTGTCTTAAATAACCCGTTAATACCCTTTTCCCTCTGTCATGACAGAAATAAAAGTGGGCCAGACGGAAAATCCCGAAGCTGTAGAACTGAGCGCATCATAAAATAACTTAAGTCAGTATCTAGTGTGAGGTCCACTGAAAATGCCCCACTTCAGAAATGTCTTAATGGGACCCCCGGGAAGCAGGTAGATCAGTCCTGGGGTGTGAGATGTTACCTCGTCAGCCCATAGCCTGGGGGAGACCCACGTAAGAGGGGGCTTTCCTGCTGTGTCTTACGTGTGCTGGTGCGGGGTACGCAGGGTGGGTGTGGAGGCAGAGTGAGGAAAGGAAAGGAGAAAGACAAGAGGGGAGAGAAAAAGAAGAGATAGAGAGACCGTTATCAAGGATCCTCAAAAGTCCAGCTTTCTCTGTCTTGTTTGCTTACACCTTCTCCGCCATCATTCAGCTTCTCATGGGACCAATGAACTGCCCTCTGAAAGGAGGAACCTGAGACCACAGCTCAGGAGGCTGGAGGAGGGGCAGGGGGGCCACCAGGGTGCCCCGGACAGGCGATAGTATTCTATTTCTTTGAGACAGTGTCAAGATGGGTGACACCAGTGAGGTCCATGTTCCTTTGATGAAAGTGTTTCTCCCAAGAGGATTCGTGAACTAAAGCAGTGACACATCCGTGCCTCAGTTTCCCCTCAGTAAAGTGGTAAGGACAGACCCCTCCTGCCCCACACGGCATGTTTCTGACAGGCCTGCTTGAAGTCTAAGCTTGGAGTAGAAGTTTCTGTGCAAGGGCTGCCACGGCCGCCAGGCATTCTGGGTCCCCCTCCCCGACCCCGGGGCACAGGGAGGTAAGCGTGATGGATGGGGGGCTGGAGGGGATAAGAGGGCTGGGCTGAGGGCCGTTCGTCAAGCTTTCATGTGTCAGGCACTATTGTCTCCAGGCTGTGCTGGGGCCTTTCTGCGAGACTTGATTCCAGATACCCTGACCCCGACTCCCACGCTTCCTATTCTCTCACCGCCACCCGGCAAAGCTTCTGAGCCCCATCACCGCTGCTTTCATCACCAAAGTTAATTAAAGACTGTGAACGAGGAAACGCCTTCTCTTTGCCCCAACTTTGGCTCTAGCGTGCTCTTAAAATTCCCGTGACGCCTTTCATGATTTTGACTTCATAGTTCATAAAATCTCTACCTCATTTCTGTGAAGGCTCTCCACCAAATCAACGTGTAAGCACCACCAGGAAAATAATCCTCCCCCCTTGTCCCCAGGGCTCCCGAAGGTCATTCTGTTTTCTCCCTCTTCACATCATTCCGTGCTTAAAAGCACCATCCAACAAGCAGTCAAGCACGGGACTGAGTGAATGCTCTGAGAGACATCTTGTTGTGACAATGAGTTGATTTAAAAGCAAAATGACAGATCTGTCCCCAGTGACACAAGACGGTGGAGAAAGCTGTTAGAACATGCATGCACCCCAAGCTACGCTCTGTACGACAAGGTGAGAAACAGAAATGAGTTAAAGTGGCTGAATCATGCAATGACTGGGAAAGAAGCTGCCAGGGAGAATAAAAAAGTGTGAATACCTGTGCAGGTCATAGCTTCCTCCATCTTTATTTCCTGATATAGGAAAATATAAGAGTAATTTATGTTAGCTTTACAACTCATAAAACCACCCACTGTGTCATGTTCCATGCACAACATCTAAACCCTAGAAATATATCGTGTGAAATACAGACAGTGCCGGAGCCCAACAGAGCTTTTCTATTAGACAGGTTCAAAATGAGGATGGAAAGCTATAAATAAAAAGGTTTAAGATAAAACGTATCAGACTTCGCATGAAAAATGGGTGAGGGTGAGATAGGAAAGCCCGTTTCAAAGCGATAAAACGGTACTTCCCGAAGTCCATGTAAGTCTCAGGAATAGTTAACTTTTGGTTATTTTAGACAAAACACTTGGAAAAAAGGGCCAATAATCATCTCCCTCAGGAAGCGTCTAGAAGGTGGACAGGACTACTTGAAGCGTAACGGTAACAAGAGGTCCGCCTGGCGTGTCGTTCACCACTTAGAGACTCTATCAGGTTTCACTAAGTGGAGCTGCTATGTCATCACCAGTAGGAGTGCTATGTTCTTCAGGGCAGAAATATCCGGGTGTAATATTTCTAGTGCCTCTAATACTTGTTTCAATTTCCAGGCCTTAGGGGGCTTTTTTGGGGGTAAAATTTGAGGAAAAGGTCAGCAGATAAGCAGGATATCTGAAAAGATTTAAGCTGAGTGGAGTCAGTGACCAAAAGACCTGGCTGGACTCTTCTGGCTGGCAACGAATTCCAATAAGGTTTTAACTGAGGGGTGGTGACTGACAGCTGTGATGGGACCGCCCACAGGATTTAGAATTTCCTCTGGGGTTCACAGCTTGAATGCCGTGAGGACCCTATAATGGTGGAAATGACAGGTGACGATGCTGATCATTTCAGGATGTGCCACTGCCCGCCCCCCTCCCCGCTGAGTCCCCCATCAAGGCTCATGGCTTGGGGAGCTGCTTACTTTTATTGCTGGTTCTGCAGGGGACCCACAGAGACACAGGCCCTTAAGGGCACTGAGAAAACTCAGCTGCCCAACAGAGGGTTTTTGCAAATTGCTCCCCACTGCCTTTGGGTCTAGCTCTTCACCCTTTTGGGGTTGGCATGCTGTGCCCTTGGCCAGCCTCAGCTCTTTCTCCTTCCTCCTATGGACAGCTGACATTTACATTTCCACAGGAATTATGAGAAAATAAGTATTCTCATTAACCAGGAAAGAGCTGGGACGGACCCTGAAAAGAACTGCATCTCCATGAGCCAAAGGAGAAATGAGTTTAACATTGCAGACCAGGGAGGGAACATCTGGCTGATTCCATACAGGCCCTCTTATACTTTCAGATCTCAAGACCACGTTGTGCTCAAACATCTCTAGTTTCAGATGGGAAATACTTGCAGAAGAAATCTAATTCAATGTGTCGTGGGCAGGGATCCAACTGGGGGAGTTCCAAACTCTGAGAAGCAGAAATAGGGCATTGTATGTTTCCATCCCAATTCTCTTAAAAAAGAATAGGATATCCTGGTTGGCCTAGAGTATATCTTATGACTGTTGACATCCATAACAAATAAACCCCCAATACTTTCATCCCGTTTTCCAGTGGACGCTTCCATCAGGAATTGAGGTTTACTAAGAGAATGGATCTTTGGGAGAGATGGAATGAAACACTCCCCAAATCTTCGGGGGTATTAAATTTTTCATTAGTGCGCCAGAGCTAAACTAGAGAACAAAATATGTTTGGAATTGCCTGGCAAGTTTCCCCTGTAAGGATCCCAAACTAGACGTTTCTATGTCTTCTATCCCCAACTACATGTTTCAAAGGCAGAAAACTTGACAACAGAAAGAACTTACTATGGGACAAAAAAAATTTTTTTTTCCTTACCAACTTCTAGGCCCTTAGGTCTTGGGTTGCACTGCTTATACCCCTGACAGCTCCTGAGTTCCACCAGCTGCATGTGTAGCTGATTCAAAACGCCCCGTTCTATCGTGTGCACGGTATTTGTGAGCTGTGGATGAAGCGGCCAGGACAGTATCTTTAAGCTCACGTTCTGCTTATTCCATTTTCAATAAGCTTCATAAAACGAAAACATATTGACTTACCTGATAAGGATCAGTATTCATATCAAAATACTCCAAAAAGCCAGTGGCGAACTCACAGAAGAGAAAATTATGCGTGTCATTAACTGTCCGCAAACACCAGTAGGTGTTATTGTTAGAACTCGTGCAAGCACAGAAAGAGCCCACTGTCGGTAAGAAAGAAAAACAAAACGAAAAGAATGAGAAAACCCAGGAGCCCAGCCATTCCAGCGTTCCCTATCTTTACATTTCGAAGTTCACATTTTCTTTCTTGCAAATACTGTGCGTGTAGACGTGAAAAACAATGACATTTCTCCCCCTCTCTGTACAAATTTGCTGTGAGATTAGGTGAAGATGCAAAACAACAGTGGCAACGTAGGAGGGTGATGATAGGCTGAAGGCGAAGGTGAAGTTTCAGGCTCTTTCGTTTGCTGTCCCCTTAGCTCTGCGGGGCACTGTCTCCAAAACAGGGTGACTGAGTAGAGAACGGGAAGGAAAGTATCGGAACTCCTATTTATGGTTGTTTTAATTTTTTTTAAAGAGGGAAAAAATGGTTCCTTAATAAAAAGAGGGACCCAGTGCCTTAGCTTGCTCTGAATGTCAGATGGTCGCGTGTCACAAATGGTGCCTGGAAAGAGAGGGGATTCTGCAGTGTGGATGGGTTTGGAGGAGGCTTGAGCGCCGCTCAGTGGATTTAAGGATGACAAAATTTGTGATCTTGCAGACTCTCTACAACACTTGAACATGAGATGGACTGTCACCATGAACATCTTTTGTACGACGAAGAGGTCCACTGGTTGACTTGTAGAAAGTACGGGAAAGAGAGGTCCAATGAAAGCTTCTGCTACTCCCTCTGCCTGGGGTGCTGCACCCCCAACCCCTGTTCACATGATTCCTTCTCTCCACGCCTCAGGTTTCAGCTTCAATTTCACCTCTTCAGAAAGGCCCTTTATCCCTACCCTCTCTAAAAGGGACCCTTTTAAAAACTTTGATCACTGTTTCCTTCACAGCATTATTACAACTTGTAATTATTTTATTGATTTCATTTACTTTCTTTCTTTACCGCTCTTGGAATATAAGTGTCTTGAGGGCAGAGAAGGAGGTGTGTCTCGCTCATCGTGTGTCTCCCGTGCTCGGCCCAGAGCCTGATGGAGAACAGATCGCCAGCAAGCTCTGTGACCCTCAGATCCCCACATTCAAAGTTAAAGCTAGGCCTTTAAGAGTTCACTCAGCCTCGAGTATGTAAACATTATGTAAACATAACTGCAAACATAGACCCTGAAATCAAGATGCACCAAAACGGAAAGAGAAACAAAAATGATCACAAATAGGCCCTAGGTCTCCCCAAGGATGGTCTCTGGTTTCCTGGGAGTCTCCAAATCCCAGTTTGAGAAACACTGACCTGGACTTCAAGTGCAAGTCTCCATGCACTTGAAATAAAGCAGAAATGAAATATATTGGGGACAAAATTGTTCATCCATTTATTTAGTTCCTTAGTGGCAAAGCAGTCGTGCTGGGCCGGAAGTCGGTCAGGGGCTGGGTACTCTGTGAAATATCGTCAGGAGAAAAACCCACGGAGAGCTGGGCATTTTCAAACAAAACGTCAAAATAAAAATTTCTAAAGAAAAACGTAACTTTGGGCACAATGATTCTAGTTGTCAGTATAGACAATGATATGATGCTTTAATCTAGAATCTTTCTAGAGTCCTGGTTTCAAGCTGCTGAGTTCCTAGTCTAAGTGACCGGGCACGAGCTGCTGGCTGTTGGGACGGTGGCAGGAAGTGGCAGTTAGATGGGGCAACTCACAGTTCCAGAACGGCGCCGTCTGCCAGTGGTTGTTGTCATGCGTGAAGCAGGTGAGGCCAGGAAGGCTGCACTCCTCACCCTTCCGCTGCCGTTTCTTCTCCTTCCTCTCTTTCTTCCTCCTGCGGTTCTCCTTGAAAAGCTGCAGTTTGCTGTCTACTTCTTGAGCGGCTTCTCTGTTCCAATATAAGGGACTTTTTAATGATCAGAAAGCACTTTCTCAAGTAAAAATAGGATCGTTGCTATGAATCGCACACACATATTTTTAGGCATAAGATAGCAGACACACAATAATGGATGGCCTTACTTTTCCAGAGGGCCTCGAAACACAACATGTAAGCAATATTGAAGACAAACTCATGAAGTGACGCTCTTAGAATTTTACTGAATCTTAACAGGATTGACGTTTTCTTCCTATTGACATGCAAACATTGATGGAAATAAATGTCAACGTGAATCAGTAGATCCTGTTGGCCATGCCCTTTGGGCAAGTGACTTAACTTCCTGGTGGCCCGGTATCTATCAGCCATGAAGTCAATGATTGGTCGGATTAGATGACTTGAATTAGGTTTCTAAAATTCTCTGGACAAATCCTACAAAATAGGCTTGGAAAGAATTAAAAAAAACTTTTTTTTATTATCTTGATCTTTCCATGAAGGGCTCAAATTTTGTTGAGGCTCAAATATTAAATTCCCTTTACACGCACATTTTACGATTATTTTAAGAAGATGTCTTTTTCTTCCAACTTATAGAATTCAACACAATTGCGTGCTGCTCTGCAGAACACACAGACCTAATTCAGCGAGTCCACATCTCCTAATCACTGTCCACAGAAAGCAGTGCATGGAGTACAATCTAGATACCAGCCGATACACCAGCAGAGAGCACACACGCAATTAGAGCAGAACTTCAAATGATGCTCCCTCCTGGGATTCCAAAAATATCGATTGCCATGGTCCCTTGGCAAGACGTGTGCTTGTTTTCAACTTCTTGAGCTAATGCCCTCCCAGTTGCGTCTACTTTTCTTAAGCAGCACCACTTGGAACACAGGAGTCCCAGCAGCCTTTCAGAAAGGCCCTGCAAAAAGTCCTTCACTCCCAGCAAATGTGGCAAAAACAGTTACTTACTTGAATGGGTGAAGGTGGCTCTTTAATTTCTCTTGCTTTTTCACACCTTTCTCTTTGTTGTAATAGCTGCAGGCAAGAAGGTTGAAAAGTGAGTCTTCATAATTGTGCATTTGATCAAACAGTTGATTTATATAATGGAAGAAAAATACAAGGTAGGCAGTTATTTTGTTGTATGTAACAATCTTTTTTTTTTTTTGCGGTACGCGGGCCCCTCACTGTTGTGGCCTCTCCCGTTGCGGAGCACAGGCTCCGGACGCGCAGGCCCAGCGGCCATGGCTAACGGGCCCAGCCGCTCCGCGGCATGTGGGATCCTCCCGGACTGGGGCACGAACCCGTGTCCCCTGCATCGGCAGGCGGACTCTCAACCACTGCGCCACCAGGGAAGCCCTGTAACAATCTTTTAAGTAAATGGGACTTTTTTTTTAAGCTTCTGCTTAGGTTTATGACGTGTTTAATCTGACATACATGGTTTAGATCATTACAATATATGATATCAATTTATTAAGCTTTCTATTGGTAAAAGAGAGAAACAAGCCTACTGTGCATCACTGCAGCTTGTGTGAAAATGAGACCATGGATGGACACACACCCACCTCTGTTTATTGCAGCCACACTCCTCAGGTTTCCTTCTCTTTAGATGTCCTCTCACCTCTCTTAAATTCTTAATTTTATCTTGCAAAGCCTCAATCTGGAAAACACGCACGTCAACCGCGGCATTTTAAGATCAACATTTTTTATACAAAGCATCTTTCTTTCCACCCTATTTTCCGTGTTTACAGCTACACAGTTACAGCTCTTCATCTGAGGTGATAATTAATTTGGAAACAAGCTGGGCATAGACTATGTCTACCTCTATATTCCAACGATGTGTTATAATAAACATTAACACAGCTGCCTCTTTTATAATTGAATCGTTTTGCTCACAGAGATTTCAAGAGGTCATGCTTTTTTCACCTTCTATTTTGTTTTCGGTCAGGAATATCGCTGTATCACTGGAGAAGCAGAAGCAGCTTGTTCTTCTGCTCTTCACATAATTATCAAAAAGATGAGTGTACACAGCAGGGCTGGCTGGTGGAGTGCGCTTTTGGAATATACCTTCCAAGTACATGGCCATGGCTCACCTCTTTATCAATGTACGCCTTGTGGTCCTTCCAGGCTTTGGCTGATTGATAAAGTTCTCTCTCACAATGGATTGTATCATTTGGAAGAATAAAGCACCTGCAAAAACCAAGCAAACAACATTAGAAACAGGCTTCTATTCTAATATGAAAAAGCAATTAAAAATAGCCAAGGAAACTTCATTATCCTCTATACCAGAGGTCCCCAACCCCCAGGCCATGGACCAGTAGTGGTCCGCGGCCTATCAGGATCTGGGTGGCACGGCAGGAGGTGCACGGTGGGCAAGAGAGTGAAGCTTCATCTGCCTCTCCCCATCTCTTCCCATCGCTCGCAATACCGCCTAGACCATCCCCTGCTCCCTCCCCGCCCATGTAGAAAAATTGTCTTCCATGAAACCAGTTCCTGGTGCCAGAAAGGTTGGGGACTGCTGCTCTAACTGTTTAATCGGGATGCAAGCAGTTACCTGGAGCTGAGCTACAGACAAGGATAAATGGGAATGTTTCCTGGCTACTGGTGAGGACAGAGGATGGTATCAGAGAGATGTCATTCATCACAAAGATCAAGGCAACATTCAATATTCACACCCCCATGAACAAATATCACCCCCCCCCAAAAAAAACTCCATTTTTGAAAGCCCCACCAAATACTGTAGGAAAAAAAATGTTCTCACAGTTGTAACGGAAATGGTTGATGTGAAGAAATACAGAGATAGAAGGTGGTTATTCATCCCACTCATTTTGTTACAAAGAGCCTGTCTGAGGTGTCCCATTAAGTTTGAAGCAAAGAAGCAGCCCCAGGGATGGACAGCAGGTGGGATGGGGGAGCAAATCAACACTGAATGAGAAACAAACCCGGGTCTCAATCTTTTAGCCTCTGGAACCATAACCACTGCGGGCACCAGGAGACCCGTCCCAGAGATAAAGATGCTGGCAGGGCTCACAGCACCCCACCTCCCTAAAGAGATGAAATGAAAGAGAAAACAAAGATCTTGCTAATAAATTCAGAAAGAAAAGATGTCTCTATCAAGAGGGCACACAGATTTTGGAAGGAACTGAAGACCCAGGGCAGTCGGTTAAAGCCGAGGGGAATCTCCTCCCTCCCCATCTCTGTGACTCTCTGGGATCTGGAGAGGTCAGGTGTTTCTGCATCTCATATCCATCCTCAACCCACGCCATCTTTCTGGAAGCTTCTCCGGGACCCAGAGTCCTCCCTTGGGCTGTGTTTCATTTCTGAGAGCCTAACACTGTAACTGCTCTGAGCCGCAGTGCCCGTGAAGCACCGAGAGCCTTTCCAGCCCCGGTAATGTTTTCCATGTGTTTTCTAGACTCCACAAAGGTAACTGCTTCAGGGCAGCACTCCACTCCTGCTGAGTCAAGACGTGACGGCATCACTCTGGCTAAACGCCCAGTTGATCAGCCTTCATGTGAAACTGACCCAAAGCAAACGTCCAAATCTATGACTGTTTGGACTCCTTGTTGCTTCTTTAACCCCCAGGTACGTATCACATCGGCCAGCTCTAGGAACACCGTACTGCTGAGTGATATCGCTTTTTGTAAAGGGGCAAAATCATATGATACGGAGGGATGACTTTGAACTCAATCCCCGTGAACACAAAGCCTTCCTACTTGTGCGTCACTCGGACAGTGGCGGGCAGGCCCACGGCATTGCCGCTGTCGGCCAGCATCGCGTCCCCATCACCGCCGCTGGTGGCCTGGCGGCCTCTGGGCCCTTGGCGACCTTCATCGTGACGCTTGGCAATGTTTCGTGGTCGCAGGACTTGCAGTTCTTCTTCTTCCAGGTTTATGTCATATATTTCGCCTTCAAATTCGACTGACAAGGAGCGTGTCTGCCGGGTATGGACAAATCTGGGCTTGTACTCTGGAAATAAGGGAAGACAGGTTAACACGGATGGCCAGGTGTAGTTTAGGAGGGAAGAAGATGATCGCCAGGCTTGGTGAGCGTTTTGGGGAAGGCATTGCTGAGGGGCGCATCATGGTGCAGTGGCCGGCCCAGGGGAATGCACACCGGGAGAGGCAGGCCATGGTCCTGGCTTTGCAAGTGCAGAGCACTGTGTTGGATGGTGTGTTTCTCTGGGTCTCAGGCCTTTCATCCCTCAAGTGAGGGGGTAGATCCAGGTGATCTCTAAGACCCTTTCCCCTTAGGGCAGGCTGTGAACTTCTACATCAAGGTTTCAAAGTGAACTACAAAGCAGTTCGGATAAAGCTATTAGTAATAGTAATGACTATAATTAGCTGTTAATAATAAAACTATTAATAGTAATGACTATAATGAGCTTTTGCTATATATTATTCCCATCGTCCTTATCTCTAATGCACAATCATGAAAGACAGGAATTATGACAATAAATCCTCACATTAAAAAATCTATCAGATGGTCAAAACAGGCTCATGAATTTGTTATCATCTTTATATTATGATGAGAAAACTGAAGCTTTGAATGTTACATACTTTTGCCAGGTGACGCAGCCAATAGTTGTGGGATCTCAGACTACAACCTATCAGATTCTAAAGATTACAGTCTTCCCACGACACTGGGCTGCTTTCTCAAAAAGGTGAATGTTCCAGACACTTTCTATTTGCACAAATAATAGAAGATTGCTCTAAGAAAAATTAAATTTTGCAAATGCTTCCATCAGCCAACTGACTAAATGCCTGGCCGATGGACAGTAACGCCAGGGGGAGATGAATGTGCTCTCTGGTCACCAGAGACCAGTGTCAAGGCTCATTGTGGGCTAGATAAGAGCTTTAACATGCACACACTGCTCCCCGCTGATCAGATGCACTCAGGCTCTGCGGGGGGGGCGGGGGGGGGGGCACTCAGTGGCCTTATGTGTCCAGCCCGCTGCGAAAGCAGGAAGAAAGGGAGCACATTGGCTGTGAGATCAGAATCATTTCGTTCTCTGCAGGATGCAGCTCTCAGAGGAAACGCCCCTGTGCATTGGATCACTGAGAGCGCTCACGAATTCCATCATTACGCAAAAGAAGAGCATTCACTCCCGTTCTCAAACACACAATACTCCACGTGGCTTGAAAAAGTGGCCCCAGACTTCTTGAGCTTGTGCTCCACACGGAAAAGTCAGTGTGTTTTATGGTCAGTGCCTGGGGAGCGACAACTGAACTTCTTGAGAGAAAAGAGGCTTCCCCCACCTCCAAGCTGGACACTGGAGATGGCTTCTGTTAAGGGAGAGGGTCAGGGGTCCTGTCCCTTGTCGTTTTCCCATTTGAAATCTTTGTGTGAATTATTAAACCTGGCATTTTCTCTCAGGAGGAAAATCTCCAAAGTCAATTATTTTCAGCCTCTGGGGTTATTGATTCCTTTAATATTTTGTTGAAAGTTACGGACATCCAGAAACATGTGCATAGATACACATAGAATACACTTAAAATTTTGGATAAAATGCTAGAGGCTCATGATCCTATAAAGTTCATTTGTGAAGGCCAGGATAAAAAAGCCTGTTCTAAGAGCTTCCATTGCCCTCTAGTGAATGATTTGATTCCCTGGTTTTGGGCATAGAATTTAATTTAATGTATCCTGCTTTCCAAAACCAGTTCAGAAAGGCGTTATCATAGAAATAAGTCACTTTTCACATTACGCCACTAGATGGCACTAGACTCTCACTCTTTTATGGAAGGTGCCGCTTCATAGGAATCTGACAGCTGCCTGAGAAGAGTTTTTATGAAGATGCTAGGCACTGCTTCTCATGCTGAATTCGGCTAGTTTGACCCCGCCAGTCAATAAGAGGAATTAGAAACATATATCATCCTAAAACAGATATGCCGTTTAAAAAAGCATTTATGCTTCTCCTGTTAGTTAAATGCACAAGCACTGAAACCTCGGAGTTTTCTTTTCCTTCTTTTTTAAGTGTGCATGTTTTGTGTCTGCTGCTTTTACCGAATATATTTTCATCCTAAGCTTAATATTCACAAAGCAAAATTTCAAATGACCTCGGCTTTCATATTGTAAACAGAACTATTATTTGCTTTTAGCCCCAAACCTGTGCATTGATAATATCTAACATGTAGATGGATCAAGACGTTTTTGTCTCCCTAACATCCATTCCCAAAGGCCTTGGGCTGCCACTGAGAGGGTCACGGCGAATGGCTTACTCGGGGTCCCCTGGTTCCTTAGGTACTGCCTCTGACTCTTTCTCTGGCTTCTGCCGGCCCGATAACCGGCATCTCCACAATTGCACTCTTTTTCATTGTCGTGGAAGCTGTGAGAGAAGAGGGGCCTCGTGCTGTGCCGGACGGCTAGCAGGTCACCAGACCCCTTGCACTTGTGAATCCGAAGCTTGCCAGATGCGTCCTCGACACACCGCCACTTCTGCAAAAGCCAACGTGAGAGCAAGTTACCCATCCCGAGTCAGGTGTTCCTGATTAAAGACTGCTGCTTTTGTTTTTGGAACCCTGGCGGCACCCTTAAAAAGAGCCAAGGACAAAAGGCCAGCTTTTCAGTGACCCTGGACTACGTTGACTCCTGTTCTCTTAGGTATTTCCTTCACTGCAGGCAAATACAGATGACCACAAAGTCATGGGAAATCAGAGCTACCTCAATGACACCAGAGCCCAAAAATTGATATATAAATCCTCAGCATCCAGTCTAAACAGAGTCTTGAATGAAACACGTAAAAGCCCTTACTTAACTCACCAAGCCACAGAGCACAGCTGTCAGGGCTGTTTTCACCAGACCCTTCTTTTTCTGGAAAAACAAACGTGGCTGCTTTGTTCTCTGTCCTTGAATTTTCTAATTGCAAGCCCGGGAAGAGTGGCACATGAGGAAGACAGAGATGAGTTTAATCTGAGTCCATCACGGGGCAAGGCGAAGCTCATACAGCCCAGACATTAGCAGATGTGCCAGGCTTTCTCTGTGCTTTTTCTTATCCTTCTACAAACAGCGCACAGCCAGCAGAAGAAGCTGCTCCCTAAAGAGGCAAAGGTTCACCTCCCCGGAGACACGCGTGAGGATCTGGGCCTGGGTTTTCTAGTTCGAGCTTTGTCTCAAGACAGCCACAGAGCTTGCAGGCTAAATTCCGGATGAGTATGCCCCAGGATCGGGTCTCAGTGCCCCCCACCCTGTTTCGTGAGTATCAAACCTGGCTGCAATAACAGAGCTTTGCCTGGGGGTGATTTCATGTGATCCTCTATAACTGACTTAAAGATCTAATAACCTTCCTTTTAGTTTTCATTTTCCCCTTTCTCCCTCCCTAAAATGTTAATCTGGCAAATAGGAAGAACAATGACTTTTATTTTAAATTGATCGTGTTTGTTACAACATGCTACAGTGTAGTATTATCAAACTTGTGTCTTTTTTTTCCCTTCCATGTATGAGTGTCACCTGTGTAAAATTTTTATCGATACTTCTTTTCTTTCAACAGACACGTTTCTAAACTGTGGCCAAAGCAATAGTATTTGTAAAATTATGCGTTTGTTGTGCCAGTTATATATTTTCTTTCTTTTTTTTTTTTTTTGTGGTACGTGGGCCTCTCACTGTTGTGGCCTCTCCCGTTGCAGAGCACAGGCTCCGGATGCGCAGGCTCAGCGGCCATGGCTCACAGGCCCAGCCGCTCCGCGGCATGTGGGATCTTCCCCGACCGGGGCACGAACCCGTGTCCCCTGCATCGGCAGGCGGACTCTCAACCACTGCGCCACCAGGGAAGCCCAGAAAACCTTCCTTAGTTTTATAACCACAATGCATTAAAATTTTTCTTTTTTTTTTTGCCCTGTAAGAGCTGAAGGGACAAGTAGATTCCTGTAGAACACAAAAATATAGGCAAAATTTTTAGTGACTTAGCCTATTTGGATTACAACCTGCATTTTCCCATTAGCCAAACTCCTTGTTGATTTCTATGGGATAGAGATGAAGAGAAAGTGTGTTTCTTTCCTGAAGAGTTGAATTTAACCACACGTAAGGTCTGGCATGGTCCTTGGCATGGATGATGTATCATACAAACTCAAATAGACATACATATATGCATGCACATGTACACACACGCACACACACATATACCCACAAACACCACATACATACATGTACCCGCACACATTCTTGTATGAAACAGGAGCCACTGACAAAAAAGCCAATTATTTTCTATACCACGGACTCTCTGAACAAGTCATAGACCCTATTAGATAGAGTAATTATCTAGAGGCTTTGAAAACCTTCTCACCAGCAAGCATACTAGGAATTTTAATGAAATATAATTACCACACACTGGCCACAGTCATCTTAGTGTCCGATATCATGACAGTTTTTATGGCTGAGCAATCAAACCTGGAAATAGTGGCAACTAAACGGTCATCTTACTTAGAGAGTTTATAGAGGGAGGCGGAGAAAGAGAACTTTTAAAAGAATTGCATGGATATATATACACTACCAAACGTAAGGCATATAGCTAGTGGGAAGCAGCCGCATAGCACAGGGAGATCAGCTCCGTGGTTTGTGACCACCTAGAGGAGTGGGATAGGGAGGGTGGGAGGGAGGGAGACGCAAGAGGGAAGAGATATGGGAACATACGTATAACTGATTCACTTTGTTATAAAGCAGAAACTAACACACCATTGTAAAGCAATTATACCCCAATAAAGATGTTAAAAAAAAAAAAAAAGAATTGCTCTGAAACATGCTGCAAGCCATTTACAGGCTCTAAATAATGAGATGACTTTGCATTGCAGAAGAGTTGCCAGAGTCAGATGAGAGCCTGAGCTCAGGCGAGGCTAATGCGACGTGGAATCAGCCTCAGAAATGAGCTTCGTTAAGTCAGCGCCCTCCCGAAATACAGATGGCACGCTGCCTCGCTTTCATCTTGTTTTTGGACTTTATCGGTAAATCAGTTAATGGTCAGATCCAGTTTTGCCCATCTTCTCCAACCACTCACTCCTGCAAATTCCTTTTCTGATCTCTGGGACACCATCTCAATCCTCCTCCTGCCTCTCTGACGTATGAGTCTGTGCTGATAATTTAGTGCACATTTATTCCGCAAATATTTCTGTACATCTACTGTGGGCGAGGCGCTCGATAAAACTATTTCAATAATTCCAAAGTTATTATTATTCCATTTTAGCCTTTCCAACTACACTGAAACTTGGGATGAAGGGCAAGGACCAAGTCTCTTACTCCTGAATCGTTCCCTGGAGTTAGCTCAGTGTTGAATCACTCCATTTAACAATTATGTCTTAGTGTTTTTGATGGATTATATGTAACTTAAGGCAAATCACACCTGATGAAGAAGAGAAGGTTGGCTATTTTGGTTCAAGGAATCATGTGTGCAACTGCTTGGGTGGAATCCAACCTAATGAGAAATGTCACATTATCATCACCTATTAAACTCTTACTCGATATAAGGTACTGGTGTAGAGTGCTTTATGTAAAGATTTATTCATTTAATGTTCACAATAACCTAAAGTGCTACCATAATTCATTTATTGGAGTAGGGTTTTGTAGTAGTGAATATCACCTATATTCTGCCTGGGACTTGGGAGGGGCATTTCATACCCATATTGATGTCGCTTAGTGGGAAAGTCTGGACTTTCAAGCCAGAGAAGGCTGGATTTGAATTATCAGCTTTATCACATTGCTATGGGGCCTGGGGCAACTCAGCTACACAATCTAAGTTTCTGCAGGGTCATATGAGCACTAGAGATAACACATAGGAAGAACCTAGCACACGGCAGGCCATCAACAAAGGTAGCTGCTATTATTCTTATTCCTATGACTGTTACACACAGTTTATTATTTGAAGAATTTGATCTAATGTAAACTTGATGAGAGGCAGCCATTTTTAATGGAGATAAGTATTGGGTTAGGGATCCGAAGACCTCAGTTTTAATCTTCCTTTGCTGCTAACTCTATGGCCTTGAGCAAACTGCAGAATCTCTTTGTTCTTCCAGATTCCACATCTGGTAAAATAATACTTGCTCCTCCTGACTTTAAGGATATGTCATGAGAATAAATTGCTGAGTGTTTTCAGAGCTCTGAGGAAAAGATGCACTCCACGAATCCAGAGGACGACTATTAGAACTGACCTTTAATAAGGCTACCCAGTCCTTGGGCAAGGTACTGTTCCCTGGCTGTAAACTGTCTTAAATGTAGTAATTAGGATTTAGTGGGGAGACTGCGAGCGTCACCCTCCTAACTGTGCGACTTCGGTCAAGTTACTTTCCTGTCTGAAACTCATGTTTACAACGGGCATAATACCTATTTTTTAGAAGAGTTTTCAGGTGTAAAATGTTCCATGTAAAATGCTCAGCATAGTAGGAGATGGTGATAGAACTTTGGTTACTTCCCTTTCCTGAAGTGACCACTAGGGGATCATTATAGTTTCTACGTTTTGAACTGTATATATTTCTCAGATTGATTAGGAATGTTCTGTATTCTTATTTAGACCTACTTATACCCGTTTTCATGAGGAAGAAAAAAACTTTGGCTACAACTTGTTCGTAGATACACTGCAATGAAAGCTTAATTTTACACACAGGCACACACGCACATTAGTTTTCTATTATTATACGTCTTACTACATGGATTTGGTCCTAATTCGGGTCAAATCATATTCTCTGAGATGCAACCACAATACAGTAGTTTTCTGATAACCTGATTATCCTTTAAGCCAGTGCCAGCATCATGGAAAGCAGTTACCTGCATGTGGACATGTGTTTGGAATTTTCATCTAGGGTGAGGGTGGGCAAAATGGGTGAAGGGGGTCAAAAGGTACAAATTTCCAGTAATAAAATAAATAAGTCCCCGGGAGTGTAATGTAGAGCATGGTGACTACAGTTCATAACACTCTATTGCACATTTAAAAGTTGCTAAGAGAATAAATCTTAAAAGTTCTCATCACAAGGAAAAAATATTTGGGATTGACCTATGTACGCTACTATGTATGAAGTAGATGGCTGGTGAGGGCCTACTGTATAGCACAGGGGGAAGAAAAAAGAAGGTACCATCTGTTTGCAGGACATATATTAAGTTAACCTTAAAAATGCATTCCAGGGACTTCCCTGGTGGCATAGTGGTTAAGAATCCCCCTGCCAATGCAGCCCTGGTCCGGGAAGATCCCACATGCCGTGGAGCAACTAGGCCCGTACGCCACAACTACTGAGCCTGCGCTCTAGAGCCCGCGAGCCATAACTACTGAGCCCGCATGCCATAACTACTGAAGCCCGCGCGCCTAGAGCCCGTGCTCTGCAACAAGAGAAGCCACCGCAATGAGAAGCCTGCGCACTGCAACGAAGAGCAGCCCTCACTCGCCACAACTAGAGAAAAGCCTGCACAGCAACGAAGACCCAACACAGCCAAAAATAAATAAAATAAATTAAAAAAAATGC